AAGAACCTGGCCTTGCCCTCCACACCAGCACTCATGAAGGAGCAGCCAAGGGACTGCGGAGTTTCTCTCTGGGGGTAAGTCTAACATTTCTCAGGATAGTGTTTAAAACCAGATGCTTTGGGTCAGCAGGTGGAGTGGTGGTTAAGGGGCTGGACTCCTACATGAGCTACCACAGCTCAAGTCCCAGACCTGGCAGCTTGCTTTCTCTCTGTTTTTCTCTCTCTCTCTGTCTCTTGCTGGTGAGCACGCATGCTCTATGGCAAATTGAAATAATAGCAATAAAGAAAACAAAATAATTCTGGGAACCAGCAGTTAGCGTAATGGCTATGTCACTGGACTCCCACATAGTCGACCGTGGTTCACGTCCCAGACCCGGTGGCTTAAAACTCACGCCAGGCGCATGTGCGTGCGTGCCCAAGATCCCAAGAGGAGAATGGAGGAGAAGGGATTGCAGCGTGACCATCCCCCCGGGGGGTGATTTCTCGCTTTCTGTCTCTATGTCTCTCTCTGTCTGTCGGGTGAGCGCACGCGCCCTATAGTGAAAAACCTCTCCAAAAAAGAAAAAAAGAAAGAAAGAAAGAAAATAAAAGAATTCTAAAAAAATAAAAGCAGAACTTCCCACCTCAGACTGTCAGGTCATACTGCCACGTGACCCTGATCAAGTGACTTACAGCTCCCCCTTTGAGAAATGGATTCAAATGCCTGCACTCACCCTGCAGGGTACTGTGCGTGACAATGTGATCAAGGAGTGCTGGGCCCAGGGCGGGCAGCAGGTGCCCCCATGTGTTAACTGCTGTCCCCTGCCGTTCCTACTGGAACTGGCATGTCCCTGGCAGGGCCATCTCCCTTCTGACTCAGTTGTCCCCACAGCCAGAAAGGTTGCACCCTATTCAGTCCCCGTGTTGTTCACGAGGCTGTTGCCTCAAGCCGATGGAGCACTGCCGGCCTATGGAAGGCAGGCCAACTGGAAGAGCAGAGAGCAGCCCTCCCCCTGGGGCCTCCGAGGAGACCCCGGTCCTTCCTCTGACCTCTACCCAGAGACCCTGCTCTGCTTCCTCCTGGAGGCAGCTCCTGGGCAGGTCCTTACTTGGGAGACAGGAAAGCTCATTCCAAGCCCCAGCCCCTGCCCTGCTGCATAGCCTTCAAGTTCCTTCTCTCTGAGCCTCGGTTTCCTCTTCTGTCGAGTGAGGACAGGAACGCCGGGGTCCCCTGAGCACTCCCAGGGCTGAGCACAGCCTCAGTCTGACCGAGGCAACCATCGCCCCACCCTATCAGGCCGTCCTCTCACTGCCGCTCTCTGGCTCAGGCCCCCCTCTGTGAAATGGGAGCGATCATATCTGCTTCCTAAGCTCGCTGTGAGGAGTCGATGAGCCGACGTATCCACAGGTGCTTAAACAAAGCCCGGCACACAGTAACACCTCATTATACTGGCTGCTGTCATGGCCCTTCTCACAGGTAAGGAAACTGAGGCACGAAGTGGGGAAGCCACTTGCTCACATCACACCCCGAACAGGGTGGCGCCTGAGCCTGCAGCAGTAACCCACACACATGTGCTGATGGCTGTTAACAGAGCACCTGGCACATAGTAGGTGCTCAATGAACAGAGGTCAGCTGAGCCCTCGCACAGTGCATGCACACAGAGGGCAGGGCCACGTCCAACCTGTACATTTATTTACAAGGCACAAGCTGAGAGCAGGCAGGGACTGCCCGATGGCCTTCCCCCTCCTCCTGGGCCTGCTGACCCCATCATTTGAGGCGTGGTAACCCCTGAGATGGGGGCCCAGAGTGGCTGGGTTGGGCCAGCTTGGCCCTGAGGCCAGCTCGGGGGTGGTCTCCCATGTCCCCCAGGCTTCTCCAGTCCCCCTCCACCGGGCCAGGGCTGGGCGGCCTCTCTCACACAGAGTTCCTGTGTGTTGGTGGTCGAGGAAGGTGGGTGGGGCCGGCCGGGCCAGCTGCTGTGTGCTCAGCCTTATCTGTTGGGAGTGGGAGGCAGCGGGCATGGAGGTCTTCCTTCACAAAGCCCGCTCTGTCTCCCTGCCAGCTGGGTCCTACACTCCGCCTTGCTGCCTTCCTGCTCCGCCTGGAGCCTCCCAGCCACAACCTCAGGAGCTCTACATGCTGGGACCCAGTCATCCACCCCAGCTAGGAGCAAGGGCAGCCAGGGATGCCCCAGGTGGGCAAAGCAGGGGCCACCGGGGCAGGGGGGGGGGGGGCGGGGGGGGGGGAACAGGGGACAGGAGTCTAGGGCGTGACTGACAGGCCGGAGCCCTGTCTGGGGAGGCACTAGCGGGATGAATCCAGGCCACACTCTGAGGTGGCTGATGTCGGGGAAGCGGTCACTGCATGGGGGCGTGGGGAGCCCCGAGCCTCCCAGCCTGGCACAGCCTTGTGTGGGGCTGCCCGCCGGGGTGCGGGGGAGGAGGGGCGTCTGGCCTGCCTTCTCTGGCGTTCTAGGCTGTGTGGCCTCAGCCCCGGCCACTGGTGGCTGCGTCCAGGGCTCAGCTGCTACTCGGGGCC